TGGTAAATTACTGGAATCTCCAGACCATAGCCACCTCCACGATTCAACCTCTTTCCAATAACTTCCTCCGATGGGGGCTAGATGCTTCCGACAGAGGGGCTGTAGCCCTCACCTGGCGCCACCACTGAATACACCTTTAAGATATAAAAATCGGGCCTATTTTCAAATTTGGGACTTACATTGCAAAACTTTCCAAAAGACGGACACTTCCAATTAGCGAACACCTTGCTCGTGCCCCGACGGTGTCCGCTAACTAGAATAATACTGTAATCTTGCATTTTTTTGTCGGGGTGTCGAAATGTTGTTGGAGTCTGTTGGAGTTTGACCAAGCTTTAGATGGAATTAGCTGGAGCCTTCCCCGTCCCTTTACCCACTTCTAGCATACTCTTGATCAAGTGTCATTCGTAACAGGTGATATGTTTTTACCGTGCCACGCCAAGTCCCGCCAATTCAAACAACGTCTGCTATACGACAATGAAATTCAGCGTAACACTATCTCTCCACATTGGTCTGTATTATTCCTTTGATCTTACTTCAAAAGCTTTAAAATGGTATCGGGCAAATAATTTCGAGCATTTTAATACAGAAATTTGTAACTAATACTGACAATCAATAGATCAATATGAACAGCGGACCATTTGCAAGTCTTTCCTGGCATCAGCTGAATATCCAGCAGCTTGAGTAACTGGTGTGAGTGCGACTATTAATCACACCGCCTTACATTTTAAAACTGCTTTGGAACAAAATTTCAATTACTCGACCGTTTATTGAATGCCTCACTTTGCAGATTGCAGTATAAGTGCTAAAAAATTATCTTTCTACATACAAACATGAAATTTTCAAGATGTCAAAGCAAATAGATATAAGTGAGTAAAGCATACTTCGTAACTTGATTAGTAAACCTGATTGGAGGAAAAACCAGCAGCCATGCGACTAAACATGAAATTGCGTTAGCCCCTTCTAATGATTGATAATAAAGATTGGTTTGGCAACTGATTTGACCTGGAATTCGCCGGAACAGCTAGGCTTATACGCTGAATACGTCATTGACCTCTTATTGATTTAAGTTCCATATCGCCCTCATTTTGGGCATTCTTCCAAACGTGGGTTGCTCTGCGGGGTCAAGGTGTGGTGGCTGTTCTACACAGGCATGTCAGTTTGGTACATAAAGTACCAAAATGTCCCAAATTATTTTAATGATGACATAATATCTTAAGGAGTCAGAATTTTCAATGGTTTTGACGTATTTTATTAATATGCCAATACAATCAATTATAAAAGATTTTTACTTGTCTTGCTTTTTACTGCAATTAATTGGGGGAGATTTAATACAGGGGTGAGGTCCCCGCGGGCCGAGGGCCAAATCTGGCCCGTCAGTAAATTTCTAGTGGCTTTCAAACCTTCAGAGTTGTATATTCAATGAATAAAAAATCGTATGAAAGCCTGCTGCAAGGCATTTTCGATCAACGCTAAATAAGTTGTAGCTCTAGTTTTGGAGTTTTTTTCCTAACGAAAAGAATCAAGACGTCAATAAGCATTTTTATTTAGGAGCAGTTTTTTCATGGAAATGAAATTTATCAGCTTTAAATTTTCCAAAATTCATACAATGGGCATTTATGTAAATGCACACTTTCTTTGGTGGCTTTGACCTGATTTTAACAAACTGGTCAGAAAAAGGTACTTAAAGAGGAAGAGGGGTAGCTCCATAGCCCATTAGTACAGGATATAAGTATAGATCAGTGAGCTAGTACAGGACAGATCAAAATTGCAACACATCTGGGGAAAATTATGTTCCCTTGAATTTCTAGATCAAGTTTATTCAAATAAAGAGATATAAAGGAAACATCTTATCCGGTGAGGTAACCTGTAGGAAAGTTGCAGTTCTGCACTAGTATGCTCCGATAGTTTTTCACTAAAAGATGCATTCAAATTCTGCTCAGCCCTTCCTTGGCCGACCCGCTTTTCCATGCTACCAAATGCTGCAAATGTGACCCCCAGGTTGATAAGGTTGCCCGTCCCTGATTTGATTTAATGTTGCAAAAAATACCACAAAATCTTGCATAGAATACATAAAAATTCTGTATATTCAACGAAAACATGGTTGAAAGTAAAAGACGATTTTCATTCTGCAAAATTCACAGGTTTAGAAGAAGCGGGAATTTTTCTGATCAAAAAAGAATTTTGTCCAAAGGGGACCAAGATTTTTGCATAGCGATATGCCCCTCCATTTCAGCGAGTATTCTACCCTAAAGCTTATGAAGTTTCACTCACTTTTTATCGCAATCAGTTTGACTTTACGAACTGATCATCTTATGAACTTAGGGAAACGTTACTTTTTCTTCGAGAGAGAATAATTGAGATAACCTATTTTAAGCAGTTAAAATTATCGTCCCTATGTTATTATGATGGCAAAAATATTTTGTCCATAGACTTAAAATCATCCATAATTCGCCCTAAGATGCTCCATATATTATCCTCAGATTGCATAAAATATTCTGTTAGGTTTGTTTCACCAATTATCGTTATGTGCAATTTAGTGCAGTGTTCATCCAATCTCTAGCACTAAGGCAAGAATTTCAAAACCTTCTTGAAAAAGCAATGAAAGCAAAACTTTTTGTGGTGATGTATTTTATGTGACCGCAATTTTTTTGCCCTTCTGCTTTATACTATGAGGGTAGAAATAGCTCGTAAAGATATATTTAGATGGAGATGGCCTTTAGAAAATGAGTAAATTCTGTCGTACTGTGTAAAAGCACGAAGGTCTTTTGATCCTCACATTAAAGTTAAGCAATACGGATACCCTTGAATGGTTGGTGACCGCAAAAAATCATTTCTTTTTAATGGTTTTATGTAAAATATACTTGTAATTCAATCTGGGATAATGTACTAATGACGATGTGTAAGCGGGAATTAATATTGCCAAAAAGTAAGCGTGGGCAGAAATTTCCATCAACTGTAATTTTTAGGCTTTATAGGAACAGATGTATTATAGTACTGTGTTGTGTCTAACAAAAGTACTGGGACATCACGTCAAAGTCTCATTGAAATCATCCCCCCCCCCTCTCTCTCCTGAAAACATTGTTGGATAGCAGCAGTCGATACGAAATTGATATTGAGGGGGGGGGGGGTTGCCAATTGTGTCGCTTTCAATTCAGTACAATAAAGGAAACATACTACAGCCTAACAATAATTGGGGCCACTGTCCACCTAGCCCCCCCCTCCCCCATCGCTTCCGACGGCCCTGAATAGATAGTGTCTTATAGATATATTATAGAATAGATATTTTCTTGTATCTTACAGCTTGACCTTTATGTTTGAAAAAACGGTAATTGAATCAAAAGTGTTCAACGTCATTTGGCAAAGACTAGTTGTATTGTAAAGATGAGGTGCAGTGTCAGCATATTTGAAGACTCTTTACGTGCTGTGGTGTCTCTTTAATTAGAACAAACAACAAATCGACGCCCTATCATTTTTTTGTAGATATGATTGTTTTTCTAAGTGTGACATCATCGAAAATCATTTTAATACTTTTCACTTTTAACAACATAATTTGAAAGGACACCATGAAGTACTTTTTAAGGTTCAAAATAGGTTACACTCGCTGCAAATTGGTTGAGATATGGCAAAGTGAAATAACAGGGTTTTGCTAATGGCTTACTTTTGATGTAGACTTACTCATTCATTTTTTAAGCCAGGCCAAATTACACTGACTTCGTAGACAACGAGCCTGTCCTACCCGTTGTAATCCGTTTTATTGGGATTTGCACTTTTAGAGGTAATAAATCATGATATTTTTCGTTATGCAGTGAAAATTAAACAGTATTCAAAAACAGATTTTTTATATCATCACTTGGGAACATTTAAGGCCAAAAAACAAATGATATTGCAGGGTCCAGAAAACACGACGGTGCCCCGGCTGTGAGCCGGAGAAAGGTTATCCAACGATGCAGTAGTTTTGAGGAAGGCCATTTATAACTTCAGAAGAGTATATATTCATTCAGAGGAAGGTTTAGACATTTCCTGAGCTCTGTAATATTGGCGTAATGCCTCATAATACCAGAGGTGGCAAAGACTGCACCAAACATTGCATTTCATTTATTCAAAAATGTTTCACTGTTTCAGCTTTAAATGAAGTCAAAATGGATAGTTGTTCCTGATCTTCACTTTTCGAGTTGTCCAGAGGATTCCAGAACTCCTTATTTTGTTTACAAGGGACTCGTCTGTGAGATATATTTAATAAGTAAAGTGCTCTTTTCATAAATGTATCAACCCGGTACAGTGGAAAGCCTTGACTTTCAAGGATGTAGTAAGAAGTCATCAAGGTTTAGATGAAAACAGTTTTTGTTCCATGTTTCTTTTTCTCATGTCTTTCTCTTGTCTAACAGCTAATACTTCATCCACGGACTTCTGCGATACCTTACTTTCCTATCAGTTATATCACTGGCCAGGATTTTTTGAGAGATTTATTTTAAGGTGATCGCATGATATTTCAGAGAATTGCTTTTTGATTTATCTTAGTTTGTTTAATAAAGCATATTGTTCTCTTTCATTGAAATCCAACAGTAACTTCAAATATCTCAAACATGGGTATTTAATGTTTTTAGGAAACCATCAATGCAAATTGTCTTAATATAAGCAAATCCTTTTCAACGAGTCAAGTTACTTTATACCAATTATTTCCATAATTAAATGTTTTGAGACTAAGTAAAGGAAGAAATGACACAAAATGTTTATGGACAACGTTTTTCATTTGACTGAACAATACACACCTACAACGTAAAAATAAATTAAGAAAAAACCCTGAAATGTAATTTTTGCGTTCTTAAAGTAATATTTACACACTTTTAAACCGTATTAACAATATGAACAATTTGAAATAGCATCTATAAATTCTAAGAAATCTTTTCAACTTCTAGTCCTGCAAGAAGTTACTCGAAATGAAAGAATTAATGTGACGTACGGCAAGATTTGGGATTTGCTTCTTAATTCTAAACTCTGTGATTTGCGTTACGTTATGGAGTGGGTGTTACATTAATTCTTTCTGAATTCTACGGCTTAAGTATAAACTAAAATGTTATAATACAGGCATTCTTGCTATGTCCTTTACTGTTTCTATTCTAAGTGCTTTGTCGAGTGACGACCTGGGACATTTTGACGACACTATATTGCTCTTAAGATTGTTCAAAGCCTTTATCATCAAGTACAAAGCACTTCCTTTCTTGGGGGCCCTTTCTACCACGCTTTTCGCTCTTGTTTTCCTTTGTATCCGCTTGTACAGTTCAGAGAAAACATTTCGCACAGCGGATATATCTGTTGCGACAGACAGTTCACAGAATAAGTTGCAATGCAATTTTCTTGCGGCTTCTGTTGCTTTTGAACGCGAAACTTCGCGGTGATGTTCAAGGTCTTTCTTGTTCCCGAGCAATACTATTGGTGCTCCTTTGACACCTTTTTCTCTAATGTCTCGTACCAGTCTCCTCGCGGTCCGCAGAGATTCAGCACTGGTGACAGAGTAAACGACGATGAATCCATCGGCCAGGGTTATGGCAAAGTCACTCTGCAGAAAGAGGAGAGAAATTAATTAGATATCGAAATAATTCATAATAGAAAAAATAAATTGATAATCAGATTACTAAATGTACTTAATTTAATTGTTTGAATAAAATTTGTTCTTTTGATTCTTTGAGCTTTCTTTTAGACTCTTGTTGTAAGAAATGTGGACAATATGAAAAAATATCTAGCTGACAGGAGTCTCGAATCATCACAAGAAATATTATATATTGAAATTAACTTTAGAAGATGTATCCTGATCTAACTCTTGAAAACTACTATTGATCAATTATTCTTACAACATTTTCTAAAAAGTCTGCTCTTTAACTTTAAAAATACTCACATTTTTGCTAGAATCAATAATTTCCATTCGCACATTTTCTCCATCTATCATGGTTTGGAATGTATGGCATTCGTCACATCCCGTGGCGTATTCTGGTAAAAACCGTCTTGTCAAGCACCTCACCATCAAAGCTACAAGAAAATCGTGTTTATTATTAACAGGATTGCTTTAGAATTACCATTACTTTAAATCAACAAGATGGGCGATCATACATTAGTCATGTCAAGTTGGCATTGGAAACCAATTTGTTTTGTCACAGAGACTGGGCGTGGATAAATTAGTGTTTATAGGAAATTTTCAAGAAAGTTAATTTTATGTGTCAAACATGTAACAATAATTCGATTTTCCCAAGGAATTAAGATTATTTTGTATTAAGAATTTGCCACCCAGACTAGAATATTTGAAAATACCACACATCACTCGGCTAAGTCTATTTTCTTCATAACTCGAGGAATTCTTTTTCCCTTTTCACACGAGATTAATCCATCGTCTTTGGTGGTTTTTCTATTGTCCTGGGTATTGTAACTTCTAAGTGTGCTAATATTTACAATAAAACCAAAAATTCTTATTCATTATTATTCTTTATTGTTCAAGTTTCCATAGTGACTCATAGCCAATTGATAAGAAAATTAACAATAATTCAGTTTCGTTGTTTAGTGAGGTAACTGTTTTGATTTCAATAATAAGATAATCTGCTGTATTATTTTGCAAGATGTTTTCTAGTGCAGTGACACAAGCTTTGTGCTGTTAGCCCTGGGTTCGCTTGGAAGGGTCAAAGTTGGATAACTTGAACCATTTCACGTACATGCCTCTCGTCTTCCATTAGTTAGTAATGTGACATTGTTAACTAATGGTAGACGACAGGCATGTACGTGAAATGTGACATTGGTCCAAGCCATTGCTTTATATCTAGTCTAGTTCAGTATGCGATCAACAAGGATGCCAAGAAGTGGGCTGAGTGGAGCAGCAAAGAGTTTTAACAAAGTTCCTTATTATGACTGAAAGACTATAAATCACGGTTTTCGTGACGTCATCATGGGTCCTACTTTTTTTGCCAAAGGTCCTAGAAACACATAAGCAATTGCGCAATTAAACACCCTTCTTGAAGGGCTTCTTTTACCTAGCTTGCAAGTGATGTTTAGTACATATCGTTATATTTTACAAGCGCATAACAGTTTTAAGCCCCCAGCTCAAACATGCTTTCACGTCTTGCCCGTTATGATTCACTTCTTGCCGGTTGCCCATTTTGAACCCTGTGCCAATAGATTTTCGCGGAAAAGCGTCAATTTGCAAAAATCTTAGACGGCTGAAAATCCTCTGAAGAAATATCCTGGGAACCATCATGCAAGAACAATGCATTTTAATGCAAGAAAATCTCGAATTTTGCTTTGAAAGCCGTTCACATGCTCAAATTTACCAAGGGCTTCTAAGAGATTAAGTTGGATGGTGTCGTGGAACGTTTTCTCACGGGCCGTGCACGATCCTTCGAGCCAAAAATTCCTCATGGTTTATCCTGTTGACAAAAATAGCCCGTGAATACTGCGCGCAAAAATGAGCCAATCTGATAGAAGGCCTCGCATTTTTTAGGTTTAAGGAGATATCCCCTTTCGCAAATGTTATGTCAGATGGCCAATGTTGTTAAGTGCTTTGAGAGGGCCACTTGTTTCCAGGCATTTCGCGAACAATGGCTACTATTCCAAAATTTAAGGAAAAATCGAGCTGTTTTCTACGCAACGTTTAGAAAGGGAGCTGCGAAGATTTCCCAGGAGAGTCATATGTCATTACGAGTAATTCCTTGTTACATAGTATCTCTCCTTTCCAAAAGTACATTGACAAGGAACCATGTGAGTGACAATTTCTTAGTACATCCCCGTAGCTGTTATACTTGAAATCTTAGGTCATTAGCAGACCACAAAACGCAGAAAGCAAAATAATATCACGTGCGCTCGTAGAATAGGTAAAACCGAAACTAGGCTAGTATTTCAAGGGGAAGCTTCTAGGCACAATACAGCTAGATTTCCACGTAATCATTGAGAAACCTTTGGTAACAAACAGGAACAAAGCTTCCGTGGTTGCTTAAAAACATACTTTAGCTTTGCTCTAAGTCTACTATTTGGCCCTTTCTCTGTAGGTGTCGTTTGTACACAAGCTAATCGTTTGATTCCTTACTGTTTTATTTTACTTGGTTTAAAAACTATGCTTATTTTTCTTACTTGATCATAATCTATTTTGTAAATTCGTTTTTACTGACCATCTTATCATGTTTACTAAATAGAATTTATAAATGGATGGAAAAATGTATGGTATTTACAAATATAAAAAAAATTTCCCATCCCCTAGGCTTACGACAATGGATTTGAAGTTCTGTGTTTTGTTCCAATGCATTTCACTTTTCCAGACTTCAGCGAACTTAGCTTTCACTTAACAATTATTCGAAATACGATTTTTCTTTATATGACAGAGCAATGGAATTAAAATTTGACTTGAAAGGTTCCTGGACACCATTATTTCACACGAGAAGGGCGATGATTACATAATTTCCCTATGTTTAAGGGTCAATATGTATGAACTGTGGCAAATGATTTATATATTTATGTCCAGGAGCGAATTACATTACGAACGAAGAATCCTGCAAACAAGAATAGCTATGAATACACTTTAAAAAATATAATAAATTCCTTACCAGTTTTTCCAACTCCTTTATCGCCGAGAATAACAATCCTCATCTTTCGGTTTATCGCCATTTTCATTGCTCGAAACTTCTTTCCTAGTATTGCTGATTACGTTTAGACACGACTGCCCTGTTATGCGATCCGCAGTGCTCTCTTTATCGCTCCGACTGACTTGGACAATTGTGCACGGCTCTTTGTATAGGCGATACTAAGTTATTTATGGTTACCTAGCCACAACGTTATGTGTCAGACTGGGGGTCATATGGTTGAGATTGCAGAGTTGATAAGTCATCAAGACAAAAGCAGATACAGCCTCGGTTTTAGTTTCGAAGCCCTCGTTTTTCACAATCACTTTTGATACAATAATATCAAGACTGCAGGTCCACAGCCGGAAAAATGCATTTCTATTCGGCACATATCTCTATGGTTCTGCATTAACTTGCTATGATAATAGATAAATCGTTTACGGGTGACAGAAAGCGAAGGGAAGGCTATCTTTTAGTAAAAAGGGACAATAAACATGAAATCAAAGGGTTCCGTCAGTCACCTTTTAAAATCACCTATCAGCAAGGGAAATGGTGTGCCAGGTGTTGCTGATTGTCACTTTCGTTAGGGACAAAACCTGTTGTAACGTTTTATGTTAGTCGGGTTCTTCTTAGGATGGTGAAGATACGATGGGGCTAGGCCAATGGGCCTAAGCCCCGAATAAGTAGAACACGAGAGAGACTCTATTCTGATGTTGTCTTTATTCGTTCAACAGCAAGACTAACTCTAAAGTGAACATTGACGGAAGGTAATTAAGAGAACAATACGAACGTCACAATACATGTTGACAGACAAACACATTGCCATTAGAAAGACGTTAACTGACACAACAGGACTCAACAGCAAATGTGACTATAACATGCAACTGAGATATTACGAAATATATCACACACTAAAGCCAACCGTTACATCATCCCCTCTCTACAAAAAGTAAATACGTTAAAATGAACATCCCTAGAAACAAACGACTTAAAATAAAAAGGTCCAAAGAGTCATTAAGGCCCGGAGGCATAAACCGGCAAGCAAAGGTAGTGCCTACAACATCGCTTGGTGTTCCCAGCTTCAAAACAGCATCTTTGAAAATAAATGTCAAATCGGGAGGATCCTCCGTCCTCCTGCTGCAACCCTTCATGGCCAGCACCCACTTCCTATTTTACGATAATAATGGCGTCGTCTGATTTCTCTTGAATGCCATTGTTGCGTATTCTTTTCTCCGATAAGTGATGTCAGCAACAGTGGTCTTGAGCCCAACGGTAATTAGTAATTAGCCAAATTGAAAAAATCGTTAGTTTGAAGCAAAAGACAGACCTCTTTCTTCACCACCGCGTGTGAAACAACTTATTACTCTGCTTCCGACGTCCTTTCCTCTCTTCACCACCATCCCTCTCTGTCACCAAATGTAACGTTTTATGTTAGTCGGGTTCTTCTTAGGATGGTGAAGATACGATGGGGCTAGGCCAATGGGCCTAAGCCCCGAATAAGTAGAACACGAGAGAGACTCTATTCTGATGTTGTCTTTATTCGTTCAACAGCAAGACTAACTCTAAAGTGAACATTGACGGAAGGTAATTAAGAGAACAATACGAACGTCACAATACATGTTGACAGACAAACACATTGCCATTAGAAAGACGTTAACTGACACAACAGGACTCAACAGCACATGTGACTATAACATGCAACTGAGATATTACGAAATATATCACACACTAAAGCCAACCGTTACACTGTAATCTCACAAAATCAATGTTTGCTAGGTTCTTACTCATCATTTTAGCATTTGAAGATTTCAGCAAATCTAAGCGAGGGCTGTATCGAAATATGTTTAGAATGGCATTTGCAGAGGAGTTGGTTTGTTCGAACTGTTGTTTTGGCTTCTTGTTTACAAATTTGTGTTGATTATAATTTCCTTGTGATGGGTCAGGCCTTCGTACTTGCTTTGTTCGCAACCATCTCCTAACTCTGTTGTGGTTCATGGTCCAACCAAACGTTAAGTTTTAAGTAAATTAAAAAAGATCATATTGAAAGAGCTTGCTGGTGGCAAAGGTTGTCTGGGAATAATTTAGATTTCGCAAGCATGTATATCTATATACCAAGTAGGTAGTTTAAACTTTGCTCTAAGTACTATGTTAATAAAGGGATAGTAAGGTTGGTTTGTGAAAGTTTTACCCAAAAATGCTTTTCTGGTGTAACGATAGGGTTCTTCTTACGACGGTGAAGTATCAGTTCGTTGGCTGAGCGATGGGCTAGGCCAACGGGCCTAGCCCCAAGTAGATAGCACACAAGAGATACTCGTTATCTGATGTTATCTCTATTGTCAAAACAGTAAGACTAAATTATTCTAAGTAGGATTACATTATATTAAAGCACAACAAAGGAACACTGTGAAACATCACACAACACGATGACAGTGACGCACATTTCCCGGAAAGG